ACCCTTTCTCTTAATAACCTAACCAGCATGATACAATCAGGTTGTGCCAACTCTTTAATCTAATTGACTAATTACAGATTTTAATTTAGTCAGTTACTGAACAACTGTTGACAATTTGTTTTCATTAGGGACAGAACAGGATAAATATTTAGGCTCCCCAGTCAAAGACTAAGACATAAGCTCTGGGCTCTGACCTCGGGTTTCACAATGGAGCCTTCTCCAAGAGCATCACCCGTGGAAAGGTGCTGCTCTGCAGTGCCCTGGTCCTGCTGCTGGGCAGCACCAAGTCTGGAAGCCGAGGTTGCTCTGTCATGACAGCCAGTGCTGTTTAAAATATAACATTAAACAAATCCAACCTTGCATGGTGCTCCAGCAAGAACAGGCTTTAAAGGACACCCAGGCTCACCAGTACCATTAACTGGGAGGGAAGGCTGAGCCCAGCGCTGCCAGGAGAGGGAATATCTGGATTTATTTATTTTTGTTGCAATTTTTTTTTGTTTTTTTTTTGAAGTGATGTGGAGTTTTGCAGCTGCTGCTGGCAGCCTGCCACTCCTGAAGGAAACTCCTCTCTCCGGTTACCTACCAGGGAACCCTGTCCCTGCAGAGTGGAGCTGGATGGAGCCCAGACGGAGCACAGTCCCACATGGAAACAGGACAGAGCTGTGTGTGCCACCACTGAGCCACATGCCCAGGGCTCAGGCAATGCCTCTGGGGCCACACAAAGCTGTTCCCAAGCCCTGTCCCTGCATTGCACTAAACCTGCCCAAAAACACCTCTTCTTCTACACGACACTGGCTGCATCTTCTACACGACACTGGCGGCACACAACAGGAGGAGCTTTCATGGACCTTCACCACCACAGAGGTCATGGATCAACACTCTCTGTCCCACTCTCACAGTCATGGGTGCCTCAAACAAGGCATTACAACCTTCACTGGGCCTGGAGCAAGAAGAGAGCCTGGCATGGCAGAGGAGACAGTCACAACAAACCCTTCATGCATGAGGAACATCCCTTCCCAGGGGTCTCACCCGGCCATGTCACCTGGCAGTGCACCACGCCATGAGCTGGCCACAGAGATCCTAGGGAGCAGCTGGTGCTGTGACAAGGAAATGCTCCCTGCAGCCCAAAACCACCCAGGCAGTGATGCTGGGATGGGGTGCCTGTCCCACACCTGGATGGGGTGCTATTGGCAGATTCAGCATAGAAGAACCATCCCTGGGACACCCTCAGTCTGTACAGCCAGCAGACCAAAGTTCTTCCAGCCTCTTGGGCTTCACCTTGTTTCCACTGAGCACACTAACTCCAGCAAGCCTGAATTCTCCATCCATCCATCCATCCATCCATCCATCCATCCATCCATCCATCCATCCATCCATCCATCCCCATGAGCTTCAGAACTCCCTGATATCTCTCCAAGGGGGACTTTTCCATACAAAAAGGAGGAGCCCTGGTTATCCCCAAACAAGACAGGAGCCCCCAACACACCATCTTTTCCCACACCAACCACTGCACCTCCAGCAGCAACCACCCCCACTGCTGCAGAGCATCTTTCCAGACCCAAGTTGGAAAGAACTGCAGCAGCTTTCCAAAGTTAAAAACAAAAACAAATAAATCAATGCTTTGCGTTAATGGCAAGTTGAAGCCACAGCTCCGCAGATCTTGTGCTGCAAAGAAAACAGCATTTCCAATGCTCCCAAGAGCAGGTCCTCCTCAGGAAGAAACTGGGGGAAACAAGAGCTAGGGCATGATGAAGTCAAAGTCTTCATCAGCTAAAGGCTATCCTGAGTTTTCTCTCCTGCATGTTGTCATGAGCTGGCTGTGCAGGCAGAGCAATACCACAAAAAAAGTATGTAGCAAACAGTCAACTAGATTTAAGTTCATTTTCTGTAGCTCGAGGCCAAAATCGACTGAAGTGGTTCTGGTGATCAAGTTTTCTGCAATTCCCCTTTCTGTGTATTAGCTCTTTGACAGAAATTCACTGCGGTATTTAAACTGGCAGTCATCACCACTAACTCAAATTGTATTGGCTTTCACGGCGTTGAAATGCTCAACTGCGAGCAGCCATCGGCCAATTCCCAGATAACGCGGCGGCTGAAATCCCCTGTCATGACCAGAGATCCCCTTGCAAGCTTTGGGAGCGTGCTGGAACGCTGGCCTGCTCGCCACAGGGCTTGGAGGAACACAAATCAATGGCTGAGTTTTAGGGGTTGGTGTTTGTGGGGTTGTTAGCTTGGATAAACTCTTTGGGTACAGGTGGGAGAGGGCGATGAACAACCCTGCAAGAACACAACTCGAGAGTTGTGTTGATGTACAGACATGCCAGAGATGGAAGGGTAGAGCAGAGCAGCATTCCTCCTGCCTGTGCCAGGTGAATCCCCACTCCTATCGTTCTTCCTCCAACAAGCGCCTTTCTACAAAGTCCCAGAAGGTTTTTGTCCCAGCCTGGGAGAAAAACCTTAGGGGAAAGGTAAAAAGCAGTATTTCCAAGCACTCACAACACTTCAGTTTACAAGGGTCCCCCCAAAAAAAGAGTGGTGGGATTTCTCCTTACTTTCTTAATTTCCTTCCTTGCTTTAATTTCTCACTGAAGATTTAAACACTCAAAACTGGAGGGGGAAATCACCAATTTGTCCTGCTGCTCCTAACAGTTTTCATACAGTTACACTGGAAAATAAAGTGGAAATGACACACCATGTAAATCCCACCCTGTTAATGAGGAGAACTGCTCCCCCTTCCCAAAAGATTTGGGTCCCAGGTAAGAACCTCTCCAGTGCTGGTTTTGGGAAAATGACATGCCAGGCTCCCAAAGCACCCCCTCTTTCTGTCCTTACAGCAGCACAGTATCAGGGTTAACACACACCATATTTTGGGCAAACACCAAGCAGGACACACAGAGTTTGCCCGTTGCTGGCCAAGTGTAAACACAATGCTCTACAAACCTGGGGCAAGACATAGACTGGGATATTTTTAACCACAACCACCACATGAAGCAATTCATGACTCACTGATCCAGCCCCATTTGGGGCTCACATCCCATTTTAGCTGCCATGCACTGCTGATGGCTCGCTGGGTTTGCTCTTTGACACTGCCCACCATGCTCACCTGCCCAGGAGCTGGAGAGGAACAAGGCTCTATTCACACTCCCATGGTTATCATTCTGCTCTTTGGTCAATATTTAAGTTTTGGCCAGGTAGGTCCCTGCCCTGTAAAGTACACGCCGCGCCAGGAAAACACCACTCCTCAGAGACGGACTGCACCTGAGCATCCGTCAGCAGCCACCCCACGGAGAGGCACAAGCCCTGTCTTGGGGGCCAAAACATTGCCTGGGGACACCAACCCAGTGCCACCAAGCCAAAGCACAGGGCAGTGAGATTCTCAGGAGTTACCCAAAAGGTAAAGCACTTGGGGCTCTCAGAAAACCGCTTTACACTGAGAATTAAAAACAATCAGGATTGTGTCTATTTACTGTAAGCTTAAAGCAACGTGTATTAAAGAAGTTTATGCGAATCATCTAATGCACTCAGGCCTATTGTTAGAATTATTACCAAGCTAAAAAAAGATTAATTTCTCTAAATACACTAAATCCTCAGACACGATGAGGAGGCTGCTGCGGATGGAGCATTACCAGGTCTTGCTTGCTAATGTCATCTTCACCTGTGGCTCTGCTGCCCAAAGATCTACCTTTGCCTTGCTCCTGATGACCCCACTGTCCCATTTGGGCTCCCAAATCCCCCCCAGTTTGCCCCAAAACATCCAGGAAGCGAGCAGAAGCCAACAACTGCCAGACATGCTGCTGGTTATCAGCTCTGACCCCTGGTTCAGGAGTTCACCATCTTAATCCGACCCAGTGAAAACAAGCGATGCAGACAGCGGCCGCAGGGATGGACAGACAGACAGACAGACAAACTCCACTAGCAAATACCCAGACACACTTCTCCCAGACCCAGCAGGGTGGGAAGAGACAAGAGGCAGCTGAGCAGCCAGCTCTGGCACTGCCCATGCCCCAGGGTGGTTGCTGTGCCCAGTGCCAGTGTGTGAGAGCCGCGGAGGTCCCCGAGACGCTCGCCTGGCACCGCTCGCCAGCAAACCCTCACACATCCCCAGCCAGGCATGTCCAGGCAACCAGAAACTTGGGAAGGGAGCAAAAATGGTTTCCATACCATAGTCTCCCCGGAGCAGACAAAACCAGCTCCTGCTAGGAGGTTTAAAGGCGCTTGACTGGGGTCCAAGCCCGCAGCCAGGTGACTAATCCTTTGATGCACATTCCTCCCAACGCTGTGGACGCGGGACGGGAGTGGGCAGCCCACCCATGGCCCATGGGGCAGGCATGCCATGCACCCATGGCAAGGGGGATCCTTGGGGACACACCTCAGACCCAAGCATGCCACCATCCATCCCTGGGTCATGCTGCCACCTCTGCAGAGAGCAACCCAAACCATGGAGAGCAAGATGCACAATGACCAACCAACCAACCAACCAACCGGGGTCTGCAACCCCAGCTCCAACAAGACAACACCTCTCCCCTGCTGGGATCAAGGGAGGACTCAGGAAACCAAGGGAGCCCCCAGCCTTGCCAAAGGCAGGGAGATATTAACTGGGGCATTCAACAGCGGTTTGGGGAATTCCCCCTTCTCCTCCCCACCAAAATCCAACCCCCGCCCATCCTGCAAGGTGCCCTCAGCATCAAACATCTCACCACCACAGTGTCCTCAGCATGAAATATCTTGCCATCGACCCTCTATAAACGCTTTGTTGTCCATTGCTATGCAAAACTTCTTAATTCTACCACTAGCCCGAATGCCTTTAAGTGCTTAAGATAAGTATCTGAACTCATTTACATAATTGCAACATTATGAAATACTGTTCAGTCAAATCAGAACATTGCTGGTTAAAAAAAAACCCCATGCTTTTTGCCAGTCGGTTACGTTAGGTTGGCTCTCAGTGCGCCGGAGCTCCCCAACGCCGTAATTACCGCGAGGATTAGAAACTTGTTACTCACGTAGTCATGAAAGGCTTTGGCTTCACTCGAATGTTCACAAGTGTCTCGCCTTTCGGGAGCTGCGCAGTACAGGTCCCAAAACACGCTGCACGGCAGGGAGAGACGGGAGAACAGCAGTTACTCATCGGGGATCGGGCACCCAGGTCAGCGCAGGTGAGCGGCTTCGCTGGGCTGGCACCACAGCTGGATCCAGCTGTGCATCCCAGCTTTACACTGCCGGGACCTGGCTCAGGAGCGGGGATGCTGGGTGCTTGAGGGAGCAAAAGTAGCCTCCAAGAGGCAGCGCCTCGGAGGGAT